TTAAAAAAGAATTTTAAGACCTTAAAACATTGAAAAATATTGTCAATAAATGAAAAACAATTTTAAAATGTAGAAAAATGGAAAAATAGTGTCAAAAAGTAGAAAAATTATCAAATAATTTCCAAAAGTAGAAAAATTGATAAATACTGTCAAAGAATAGAAAAATTGAAAAGTAATTTCAAAAAATGGAAAAATTGAAAAATAGTGTCAAAAAGTAGAAAAATTAAAAAATAATGTCAAAAAATTTTGAAAAATAGTGTCAAAAATTGAAAAATAACATTTCAAAATGTGAAAAAATTGAAAAATAGTTATAGAAAGTATAAAAATTGAAAAATAATCTTAAAACGTTAAAAAATTGAAAAATAGTGTCAATAATTGAAAAATAGTTTCAAAACTTTAAAAATTTGAAAATTAGTATCAATAATTAAAAAATATTTTGAAAACGTTAAAAAATTGAAAAATAGTGTCAATAAATAAAAAATAATTTTAAAAAGCAGATAAATTGGAAATTATTGTCAAAAAGAAGAAAAGTTAATAAATAATTACAAACAATAAAAAAATTGAAAAATAGTGTCAAAAATGAGAAACATCACAAAGAAAATATAAAAAATTAAAAAATCGGAAATTTTAATTTTAAATTTTTAAAAAATTTTAAATTTTAATTTAAAAGTTTAAAAAAAATTAAATAAAGAAAAATATGAATAATAAAATAATAATTAATCATTTGCAATAAACGTCAATTTATTTTTTCTTCAAACAAAAAAAGAACAGTCATGAAAAGGAAATTGTGAATATAAAAAAATTTGTTAATATCCTGAAAGGGAAACATGAATAAATTAATATTTTCCTTCACTTTAAAAGAATGTTTATAGACAGAAAGAGATTTTGAAATTTGCCGCCAATCTCTCTGTTGTCTCACACACATATATATTTTCAGGTCAAACAATGTGGGTGGCAGGTACTCGCAGAGTTGGAATTCACTGCCACATCAACACTTTCTCGACAGTTTAGCGTGAATTTTATCTTTTTTTTCGTGTATAATAATTATTTTCCAACATATTGTTTGGAGAATTTTTTTTTTTTAAATGAACTGAAAAATTCTTTTTTTTCTCAAAAATGAGTGGAAAAATGTCGAGAAACAGATCTAAAGCAACTTACTGTAAGTTTAAAAAAATTAAATTTCTTTACTTATAAGAAAAACAATGCTGTACTTATTTCACATTTATTAAAAGTTTTTGTTGATTCTTCTTCTTCTTCTTGTTCTCTCCCAAGAATTTCCTCAATTATCCTCAAAAAGTTTCTTCAAAAAACTATTTTTTTAATTCTGTAAAATACTGCAAAATTACATTCAAAATTAAAATAGCGAAATTTTACTATTTTTTTTGCAGTAAATTTTATTGTTCGAAAATTTAATTTCAAATAAAAAAATTGCAAAATTTTACTATTTTTCATTTTGCAATTAACTTTTATATTCCGAAAATTTTAATTAAAATTCAAAAATTACAAAAGTTTACTATTTTTTTTGCAATAATTTTTTTTCTCGAAAATTTAACTCCAAGAATTTACTATTTTTTTTGCAATAAATAATATTATTTTGCAAATATAATTCCTAATTGAAAAATTTCAAAATTTTCTGTTTCTTTTTTTTTTTGCATGTCGTTTTTATTATTCGAAAATTTAAATCAAAATTTTAAAAAACTGCAAAATTTTTGTTCTTTTATTTTGCAATAAAATTTACTACTCCAAAATTTAATTCAAAATTAAGAAACTTTAAAATTTTACAATTTCTTTTTTTTTGTGCAGTAAATTTTATTAAACCGCAAAATTTTAGTTAAAAATTTTTAAAAAATTTAAAAATTGCTAAATTTCAGTACTTTTATTTTGCAATAAATTTATGTACTCGAAATTTTAACTCAATATTTAAAAAAGACGCAAAATTTTAGTTCCTTCATTTTGCAATGAATTTTATTTATGAAAAATTTCATTCAAAATTAAAAAATAGCGAAATTTTACTATTTTTTTGGAGTAAATTTTATTATTCGAAAATTTTAATTACGAATTAAAAAATTGCAAAATTTTACTATTTTTGTTTTTTTAGTTAATTTTTATATATTGAAAATTCAAAAACTGCAATAAAAATTTTTTTGCTCAAAAATTTTAATACAAAATTAAAAAATTTGCAGTATTTTACAATTTGTTTGCAATAAATAATATTATTTGCAAATTTAATTCCAAATTAATAAATTTTTAAATTTTATTAAATTTTCTTTTTTTGCAAGAATTTTTTTTTTATTTGAAAATTAAATTAAAAATTGTAAAAATTGAGTACGTACTTTTTTTATTTTGCAATAATTTTCACTAATTGAAAATTGAATTCAAAATTGAAAAGAGCGAAATTTTACTATATTTTTATGCAGTAAATTTTATTATTCGAAAATTTAATTTCAAATTCAAAAATTGCAAAATTTTTAGTTACTACTTTTGTTTTTGCAATTAACTTTTATATTGCGAAAATTTTAATTCCAAAATTACAAAAGTTTACTATTTTTTTTTGCAATTGAATTTTTTTTCTTGAAAATTTAATTCAAAATTAAAAAATTGAAATATTTTACTATTTGTTTGCAATAAATAATATTATTTTCAAATTTAACTTCAAATTAATAAATTTTACTAAATTTTCTTTTTTTGCAAGAGAGTCATTCCATTATATTTCGACTAAAGTCGTTGCCGACTAATTTTAAAAAATTGTAATATTTTGCAGGAATGATTTTAAAGATATTAGGATCACCGAACAAAAAGAATTTTTTAAATATTTTTTATATTTATTGTAAAATAAGCATCTAAAGTATATGAAGTCGTAAAAACTGACACTTTTTCATCTATTAGAAAATATTAAAGAAAACACATCATTTACTATAAAAACGTAAAAAAATTATTAGAATTTATTAAGAATGAATTATTTTATTATTATAAATTGATAGAAACAATTATTAATAAGAAATAATAAATAAAAAGTAATTTTAAAGTTTACATGGAAAATAACCTATTTTTGCAAATTCCATTCACTAAATATGAGAAAGAGAAATCATTAAATTGGATAAAACCTTATGAAATATAAAGTACCTGTGATTAACTTTTAGTTTTTCTTACCACTTTCTTCCTGTTTTCTTCACAAATATTAAAAAATAAGCAATTAAAACTGGCACTTTGCTTATTTTCACGATTTTAAAATGCAAATAACTTCTGCCCAGAAAAATGAAAAATTACGAAAATTGGGCAATAATTAATTCATCACTAGATACACTTACTGGAAAAAGATTTTCTTTGGTCCCGAAGCTATTTCTCGAATTAATTAACTTTAAACTTTTTACTATTTTTATCAGGTTAATACATGTGATTTCTTTAAAACTGAAGTTGGTTCAAAACGATTAAACAAGAAGAGCTAACTTCGTCCTTTAAAAAACACATGTATTAACCTGATAAAAATAGTCAAAAGTTTAAAGTTAATTAATTCGAGAAATAGCTTCGGGACCAAAGAAAATCTTTTTCCAGTGAGTGTATCTAGTGATCAAATAATTATTGCCCAATTTTCGTAATTTTTCATTTTTCTGGGCAGAAGTTATTTACATTTGAAAATCCTGAAAATAAGCAAAGTGCCAATTTTAATTGCTTATTTTTTAATATTTGTGAAAAAAACAGGAAGAAAGTGATAAGAAAAACTAAAAGTTAATCACAGGTACTTTATATTTCATAAGGTTTTATCCAATTTAATGATTTCTCTTTCTCATATTTAGTGAATGAAATTTGCAAAAATAGGTTATTTTCCATGTAAACTTTAAAATTATTTTTTATTTAATATTTCTTATTAATAATTGTTTCTATCAATTTATAATAATAAAATAATTCATTCTTAATAAATTCTAATAATTTTTTTACGTTTTTATAGTAAATTATGTGTTTTCTTTAATATTTTCTATTAGATGAAAAAGTGTCAGTTTTTACGACTTCATATACTTTAGATGCTTATTTTACAATAAATATAAAAAATATTTAAAAAATTCTTTTTGTTCGGTGATCCTAATATCTTTAACATCATTCCTGCAAAATATTATAATTTTTTAAAATTAGTCAGCAACGACTTTAGTCGAAATATAATGGAATGACTCAAGAATTTTTTTTTATTTAAAAATTTTAAAAGTTGTAAAAATTGGTTACTTCTATTTTACTACTTGAAAATTGAATTCAAAATTGAAAAAGAGCGAAATTTTACTATATTTTATTGCAGTAAATTTTATTATTCGGAAAATTTAATGTAAAATTAAAAAATTGCAAAATTTATTTTTTTTTTTTGCAATAACTAATATATTATTTTGCAAACACAATTCCAAATTAAAAATTTTTTAATTATTTTTCTATTTCTTTTTTTTGAAAGTTGTTTTTAGTGCTTGAAAATTAAATTCAAAATTTAAAAAAAGCAGCAAAATTTTATTTCCCTTATTTTGCAGTAAATTTTATTAAATTGCTAAATTTTAGAACATACTTTCATTTTGCAATGAATTGCACTACTCGAAAATTTAATTCAAAATTAAAAAATACCGAAATTTTACTATTTTTTTTGTCAATAAATTTTATAAATCGAAAATTTAATTCAAATTTAAAAAAATTGCAAAATTCTGTTAATCACTTAAAAGGAAAAATTACATGACAGTTAAAAATTGCGACTATTAAGAATTAAAATACGAAAATGGTAATGAATCAGAGAAGTGTGGAAAGAATATATGTTTATTATTTGTATGTGCGTAAAATATAAAAAAAAAATTAGAAAAAAAAAAGAAAATGAAAGGGGAAATTTTTGTGGGTGAGGAAAAAATGAAAAATTAAACAAAGGACCAGTGTGTATTGTGTGTGACAAGTAGAGAAGAATGTTTACGATTGTATGTATATTTAAGATATATGGGAGGAGAGAAATATATGTTAGGATGGTATTGCATTTGCAACAAGGGACCAGCGAGTGGGGAACCTGATTACAAGGCCATTACATTTAACGCTGCTTTTTCATCCTAGACAGTAAGGGGATTCAGTTCGACTTCGTTCGACTCCAGTAGTGCCCCATAAAGCCACACGATTCAAGTTTTATTGGAAAATAGTTGTCCATTTTTTTTTTTTTTTTTGAAAATTCATTTTCTTTTACAGTAAAAACGCCTTTTATCCCCTTTTTTTCGAAAAAATAATTTTTAAATTAACTCGGTATAATTTGTTCAATGTGCTTTGTTCTATCATTCATTATTTATTTCTTCAAGTTAAGGAATTAATTTATTTTGAGTCCTCAAACTAGTCTTGGGATTTAAAAGAATAGTATTTTTTGAAACGGAATTTATCATTATTCTAAGGTAAATAGAAAAAAATTTATTTTTTACTTGTTCAGAAAATTGATCGCATGTTCTTCATTAGCAATTTTTATTTTTCTATTTTTTATTTCTTTTTTAATTTTTATTTTTCTATTTTTTATTTCTTTTTCAATTTTCAATTTTTACTTTCAACAAATTTTTACTTTACAATTTTACTTTCTACTTTTCTTTTTATTACTTTCTACTCTTTACTTTTCTATTTATTACATTTCTATTTTTTATTATTATCCTTTTTCTTATTTTTCAACTTTTTTCTTTGCCTTTTTACTTTTCAATTTTTTATTTTCCTTTTTTCACTTCTTTATTTTTTACTTCTATTTTTTATTTCTCTTTCATTTATTTCTTCATTTTCTATTTCTTTATTTTTCAATTTTTTTCAATAACTAATATTAAAATATTATTTTTTATTTTCCATTTTATTTATTTATTTATTATTTAGTTTAATTTTTTTTATTAGTTTTTCGAATTATTAAGAAATAAATAATAATAATAAAAATGTTAAATAATAAAGAAAGTAATTACTTTCTTTATTATTAAACATTTTTATTTTTCATCAGAATTATTTCATTACTATTAATTTGTTATAAAAAATAAATAGGTACAATTATTAAATTTTTTACTTTGATTAACTATTTTAATTATTATCTATTTAAATTGCCTTTAAAATTTGTTATTTTATTATTTTTTTCTCTTACGTACAGAAAAGATGTGAATAATAAAATAAATAAATAAATTATTTTCCATTTGTTTATTAAATTTGTTATTGTTACCATTTTAATTATTGTATTTATATCTTGTTATACTATAGAAAAGAATTTTATTATTCGTTACTTTTTATCTAATATTATTGATTTTATTTATTATTTTCAATATTATTTATTATTATTTTTATTATTATTATTGTTACTATTGTTATTGTTATTTTTGTCACTGTTATTATTGTTAGTTTTATTTTTGTTTTTGTTATTATCTATACTATTGTTAATGTTGTTATTGTTACTATTATTATTGTTACTGTTATTAATAAATAGTGAAATTGTTACTGTTACTGTTATTATTTTTATTGTTATTATTGTCACTGTTATTATTGTTACTTTTATTTTTGCTTTTGTTTTTATGTATGCTATTATTATTGTTGTTATGGTTACTTTTCTTTTTGTTTTTCTCATTATTTATACTATTATAATTATTATTATTATTATTGTTGTTGTTATTATTTTTATTATTGTTACTGTTATTGTTACTATTGTTATTCTTATTATTGTCACTGTTATTATTGTTATTTAATTTTTTTTTATCATTTATACTATTTTTGATGTTGTTATTATTACTGTTACTGCTGTTATTGTTATTATTGTTTTTGTTATTGTTGCTATTGTCATATTATTATTGTTGTTACTATTATTGTTAATATTAATTTTATTGTTTATACTAAATTATTTTAATTCGCTTTTTAAATTTCTTTTTAATAATTTTCATATTGTTTATTAAATTTTATAATTATTTGTTGTTATTATTTTTTGCTTTGTTATTATTTAAACATGTCTACGGATTACAATTATGTAAAAAATTTCAATTAAAATTAAATTGACCTCATTATTTGTTTCAAATAAGATTAATTCAGCAGATAAATTAAAATTTATTCACCCCCCATTTATTATATGGGAATTACGTTAAAAGTTCAATATTATATTTTTAATAAAAAATTTCTATTTTTAAATACATACGATAATTTTATTATACAATGAAAATTAAACTTCCCAATACATAATTTTAATTTCAAAGCGCATATAAATTTATTTAAATATTTAATAATTATTAAATTATAGATACCGTAATATTGTGTTAATAATAATTATAATAATAATAATTTATAATTATTATTATTGTTTTCATTAGCTATTTAGATTGACTTCAAATTTTTTTTTTTTTTTTTTAATACAGAAAGCAAGTATAAATTAATAATAATAATCATTACTAGGGGCAGGGGGCTCTGCCCCCCTAATTTTATTTTTAAAAAATCTGTAATTAAAATTTCTTGAAGTGGAAAAATAAAATGAGGAATTCAGAGGCGCGCAATAATAATTATTTTGATGAATCACTGTGTGAGCATTCTCATCTTTGTGATTACGTAAGAATTAAAAGACGCATTCATTGAAAAAGAAAATTTTATTCTTTTGCAATATATATGTAGAGGAAAAAGAAGAGGAAGATCGAGATAGAGAAACAGAGAGAGAGAGAGAGAGAAAGAAATGCGCGTATTTAAACGTTTTCTTTTCTTTTTCTTAATTTTAATAAGTTTTTCTTGTTTTTGTTTTATTGCAGCACGAGAATTGGCGGCGAGGGACGATTTTGAAATGAAGGCAGAACAACAGAATAGAAAAGCACCACCGGGTTCCTTGACCCTTGGCGTTTCTTTTCTAACACATTTACTATTAATTCTACCAATTCTCTATATATTGGTTGTCGCATTTCATCGGCCCGAACAATTATTCACATGGCATCCAATTTGTATGTCACTCGGGGTAAGAAAAAAGAAGCTTTTTTTAGAAAAATAATTATTAGATTTTGGAATTTTTAAAAAATTTAGTGTTTTATAATATTTAAAAAATTTTTTATCTATTTTTGTTTCTTTCTTTCTATTTTTTGTTTTGTTTTGTTATTTTTGTCATTTTTGTTGATTTTTTGTTGTTTTTTCTATTTTTGTTTCTTTTTTGATGTTTTTTCTATTTTTGCTGTTTTTTTCTATTTTTTACTATTTTTGTTTATTTTCAGCTGGTTTTTTTTCTATTATATTTTTGTTTGTTATTTTTTATTTCGTTTTTTTTTATTTTTGTTTCTTTTTGTTATTTTCTTCTATTTTTAATTCTTTTTTTTGTTACTTTCTTCTATTTTTGTTTCTACAATTCTTTTCTATATTGGTTCCTATACTGCAGCTATACTTGAATTTCTATTTCTGCTCTATTTCAGTTCCGAATTCCATTTTTGAATTGGGATCTAAGAGAAACTATTTTTGATCCCTTCTAGCAAACAATTTTTTTCTGAATCAAAAAATACAAATTTTAGTTAAGTTTCCATTTCTTTGAATATTTCGGTCTCATGCAATTTTGAAAAAATAAAATTGCATAATATTTAGAACAAAAAATTTGGTCCTCATTGAATTTCAAAAACTTTATTATTTAAAAAATAATAAAGTTTTTGAAATTTTTATTTAGATCATTAATTTTATTTATTTTTTGTAATTTTAGTTTTTTGTGATTTTTTTTTCATTTTTGTTCGTTTGCTATTTTAATAGATTTCGTATATATGTAAGGAATATTTTTTTTCTACTTAACGGAAGTTGATAAAATTGCCAAGTACAATAATTATCCAAGAGCTGCTTTGTTTTTCTATTTTTTGTTATTATCTTTCAAAACTCGTATTTCAAAAAATGTAAATTCTCAGAGAAGTTATTTATGTTTTTTTTTTCTTGCTTTAAAAACAAAACACAGTATAGATTTAATGATTTTCTGATAATTGACACCTACAATATAAGAAAATAAGGATTACTGATTAGTTGTGGACTATAGTGTAATTATAATTGAATTATATTTGTACGATTGTGAGCAATCTTATTGAAATGAAAATCATAATTTTTGCATTGAATTAAAAATGAAATTAAAAATGACAACATCGATGGAAGAAATACATTATTGTTCTTCAGTAGATCAAAAATGTTGATAAATTTATTTACGAGGTACGTTCGAGAAGAATTTTTTTTATTGTTTCTGTTTTGAGAATTTTTGTAGGTAGTATGTACATTTTTGATTTTACATCTTGATACATTAGATGACATTAGATGACATTAGATAGCATTAGATAGCATTAGATAGCATTAGATGACATTAGATGACATTAGATGACATTAGATGACATTAGATGACATGAAATGACATTAAATGACATTAAACTACTGTAGACGACTTTAGAAAACTTTATAAGACTTAAGATAAATTTTGAATATTTTTAGATGACTTTAGGTGACGTTTGATGACTTTAGCTGACCTTTAGCTGACTTTAGACGACATTAAACGAATTTAGACTACATTCAGATTAATTTAGACGACTTCAGAAAACTTTAGGTGAATTAAGACTTCTTTAAATGACATTAATATTACTTCACAGCACGTCAGAATACTTTGGATACATTTAGACGTCTTTAAACGACGTTCAGATTACTTTAGAGGACTTTAGAAAACTTCAGAAGACTTAGGATGAATTTAGATGAATTTAGACGATATTCAGATTACTTTAGGTGACTTTAGGCGTCATTAGAAGACTTCAGACGATATTAGAAGTCTTTAGGTAAAAGTCAGATTAATTTAGTGAACTTTATAAGACTGTAGATGACTCCTGACTAATTTTAGATCTCTTTGGATGACAATAGACGCCATTCAGATTACTTTAGAAGACTTTAGATATATTTAGTTCGATATTAGAAGACTTTAGAAGATTTTAGAATACGTCTATAGACTTTAAACGTCATTTTGATTAATGTAGATGACTTTAGAAGACATTTAAATTACATCAGTTGATTTTAGACGACATTTGGATGAATTTAGGTGACTTCAAAAGATTTTAAATTAACTGTGACGTCTTTAGACGACATTAAGATTACTTTGTAGCTGTTTATAAGATATTAGATAAATTTAGACGTCTATAGACGACATTCAGATTAGTTTAGAAGACTTTAGATGACGTCAGACTATTTTTAGATGTCTTTAGGTGACATTAGACGTAATTCAGATTACTTTAGATGAGTTAAGTTGATATTAGAAGACTTTAGATGATTTCAGCAGACATTAAACTACTTCAGACGAACTACAGATTAATTTATACGACAGCAGAAGACTTTAGAAGACTTTAGATTACTGAAGATGTCTTTGGACCATATTCAGATTACTTTAGACGACATTAGAAACTTTAGACGACTTGAAACTACTTTTAGACGTCTTTGAATGACAATAAACCCATACTGAATGACATCAGATGATTTAAGAAGACGTTAAACGACTTTAGACGTCAATTAGATTCATTTAGACGATTTCAGAAAAGTTTAAATAACTTAGGACATCTTTAATCTGGATTCAGATTACTTTAGGAGGCTTTTGATTACTTTAGATGACATTGTAAGACATTAGAAGACTTTACAAAAAATTTAGATTGATTTATTCAACTTTAGATGTCTTCGGACTACTTTGAGACAACTTTAGATGTCAATAGACCACATTAAGATTACTTTAGAAAACATTAGATGAGCTCAGTCAATATTAGATGACTTTAGATGGTTTCAGAAGACATTATTCGACTTCGGACGATATGTAGATTAATTTAAACGACGGTAGAAGAGTTCAAAAGACTTCAGATTAATTATTATGTCTCTAGACAATATTCAGATTACTTTAGGCGACTTTTGATGATGTTAGACGACATTAGAAGTTTTTGGAAAAAATTAAAATTAATTTAGTGGACTTTCGACTGTAGATGACTCTAGACTACCTTATTTAGACGTCTTTGGATGACAATAGACGCCATTTAGTTTACTTTAAACTGCTTTTGATTTTTTTAGAAGACTTTAGATGAGTATAACCAATATTAGATGACTATAGATGATTTTAGAAAACGTCATATGACTTTAAACGTCATTTAGATTAATTTAGACGACTTCAGAAGAGTTTAATTAAATTAGGAAGTCTTTAAACGGCATTTTAGATTACTTTAGGTTACTTGATAACTTTAGATGACATTAGAATACTTTAAAAAAGATTCAAATTAACTTATTCGACATTAGAAGACCTAAGATGACTGCAGACTAATATTAAATATCTTTAGATGATGTTAAACTTTAGACGTCATTTCGATTAATTTAGACGACTTTAGAAGACATTTAAATTACAACAGCTGATTTCAGACGACATTTGGATAAATTTAGACGACTTCAAAAGATTTTAGATAAACTTTAATGTCTTTAGACGACATTAGGATTACTTTGTAGGACTTTATAAACCATTAGATGAATCTGGACGTCTAAAAAAAGACATTCAAATTAATTTAGATTACTTTAGATGACGTCAGACTATTTTTAGATGTCTTTAGATGACATTAGACGTAGTTCAGACTACTTTAGAAGACTTGGATTTATTTTAGTTGATATTAGAAGACTTTAGATGATTTCAGAACTTTAGATGACCTTAGACGACATTAGGAAATATTTAAATTAACTTAGTCGACATTAGAAGACTTTAGATGACTTCAGACTAATTTTATACTTCTTCATGCAGCTTTTAGACGTGTTCAGATGGCATTTAGACGACATTAGCTGACTTTAGACAGTTTTTGTCATCCGGAGATGACTTTAGACAACTTTGTAGTCACTCCACCTATCTTTAAATAACACCAAACGACCTTTGGCCCAAAATTTTGCATTATAATAATTCTTCCTTTATTTTTACAGGCACTAATGATAATCGAGGGAGTCTTCAGTATATCCGGCGAAGCACTACTCTCCCACAAATTATCACGTGCAAATCGAATAACAATCCACTGGATAATGCTCACAACTGGACTTTGTCTAATTCTCTCCGGTCTGATTATTGCAATCGTCAACAAAGATAATCTAAACAAGGAACATTTTGTCTCGTTCCATGCAATTTTGGGTCTAACGACAATTGTCCTCGCATTTTTGGTGGCCACATTTGGAATTATTGCCAATAATACAAGATGGCTTTATCCACGTATTCGACCAGTGCTAATCAAGGTTCTCCACGCATTCGGCGGTATTACAATGACTATTCTGTTTATTGCCAGTGTAATTGCCGGCTCTTATACACATTGGCTGGAACATCAGAATGTTGGTGATCATGATGTGGGGAAAAAACTCGTTTTTGCCTCACTATTTATCGCTGGTGTTTTGGTTCTTTTTAAACCAATTTTGGGTGCAGTCTCAAGGACAAGGGTTCTTATTAAAACACCACAGCAACCAAGTAATACGTGACCTTGTTAATTGTTAAAGGTCACGTGAGTTTTTTTGTCCAAAGAAATTTTTTATTCCCCCGATGAGAAAGTTTCGGTGAGATTTTTATTTTTTAAATCTAATTTTCGACTTTTTAGAGACGAAAATAAAAAGCTTACTTTCCATTAGTGGCGGTTAGGTTGAAAACAGTGCGCGCGCATCGTGTCAGTAGTGGGGGGAGTATGCGTTATGATTGGTGCGCTCTCACGCAATGCTTCTCAACCTAGACCCTTGTTTTGAAATTATTTTAACATTAATATTGGAAAGAATCTAAAATTTATTCTTGAACAATTTAAATTCTTTTTTGACGTGTATAAATACAAAATACCAGAACAAAAAAAATAAAAAACGAAATATTTCTATCGGGAACTTTCATCAACTCTTTTTCAATGTATACAGAGTCTCAAACTGTGTAACGCCCTCACTTGAAATCGAGACACGTATCTATTTTCGTACATTATTTTACGAGTGCGGCACGTATCAGCAATCATGTATTTAAACAAAACAAGGAAAATTTTCAGTGCTAATAATTTCGTGGAACAAAATTCCAAGTTTTATGATTGATAGTACGAGGAAACGATTTTATTGCTCTAAAATAATAAATCTGGAATATTTTTACATTTTCACTAAATTTGTTACCAAAACAGAAATTTTTTTTTTATTTATTCTTACAACAACAAAATCCGTCCTTATTGACTCAATTAACCAAAGAAGAAATTATTTATTTTACTACATTTCTTATATATTTTAATATTAATAATTATAAATAATTCAAGTGACGCCGTTACATTAAAGAGAATATTTCACTGCGTCTATTTTATATCTATATTATTTGTTAAGAAAATATTTTTGTAATATTAATTTTTTAAAATAACATTTTAGATTTTATTAAAAGGACTTTCATTATTTGAATTTATCAAAAAGATTTCTCTTTGTGCATCGTTTACACTTTAGTATGGTAAATTTTTTTATACATTAAAATTAGAAATTTTTCCTCTCTCTCAATTTTGAAGAAACTGTTTTCTACTTTTCTGTATGGTAAACTTTAATAAAAATTAACTGCCTTAAAATTTTAAGAAATATATGGTAAATTTTACTAGACTACAATATATTTTTTAGACAGTATGTTGAAATTTACCATACTACCTTTTAAATGTTTACAACCATTTGCTAAGTTCTACTCTACTGCCTTGTAATTCTAGCGAATGCATTTTAATTTTTACTATACTTCACTTTAATTAAAGAAAACATTATTTTAAATTTTACCATACTACACTGTAATTTTTAAAACTTGAAAACAGTATGATAAATTTTACTATACTATAGAGTACATTTTAAAACAGTATGGTAAATTTTACTATAGTGTATTTTACTGCAGTGTATTTTTCACAACAATATGCTAACTTTTACTATATTCCAGTGGAATAGTAAAAACAGTATGACAAGCTTTACTATACAACAGTGTAAAGTTTAAACAGTATGATAATTTTTACTATACTGCAGGGTAATTGTTAAAAATTGCATGTTAAACATGACAATACTACAGTGAAATTTTTAAACCGTATGATAAATTTTACAATACTAGAGTTTAATTTTTAAAACAGTATGGCAAATTTTACCACACTGTAGCGTAATTTCTAAAGCAGTATAATTTTATAATTATGCAGTTTTTTCGATAGTAAATTTTATCTTTCAAATAAAAAAATGTTATCTTTTCAGTATGGAGAGTAAAATTTACCATACTGTATTTTGTTAGGATCGTAAAAAATTTGTTTAGAGAAACTTTGAAATTAAACTTCCAACGTTCAAAAAGTCCTAAAATTGTTAAATCTGGAAAAAAGAGGATTATTGAAATAAATTACTGATAATGTACGACGTTAAGCGGAAAGTTTAGCAAAAAACAAAAAAACACGAAAGTCTGATTTTTATAAACCGTATAAGCATACAAAGTTGTATTTTGTAAGCTCATGCATTTTTTTTTCTACCAATGGATACTTAAAAACTGAGTTTACTTTAAAATTACTTTAGACACAGTTTTAAAGTAATGTCTATAGATAATTTTTTTTATCTAAACTATTATATACAATTTTTTGATACAGTGGTTTTTTATTTTAATTCCATTTTCTATTGTTTCTGGAATTCTTTTTTTTTATTTTTGTTTTATTTTTATTAATTCTGGTTTAAATTTTTTTATTTTTTAAAAAGAATTTATTGAATTTTATTTTTTATATTATTTATTTTATTTTTATATATGGGACACGCACTCATTAGAAATGGTACCTAAGAAGCAAACGAATTATAGGTTATGTTTGTGTTAGATTTCTCTGGATTAAAAGTTTATTTTTTAATACTGTAAATTTGAAACGAGTTTTAATGGAATATTTCTGATGCAATGAAGATTTGAACATACAAAATTTTAAGTACTAATTGATTCTCTTTTTGTATTTTAACTCCAAACATTATAAACACAACCTAAAACTTTTTGCTTCTTCTTCTTTTGAAGCGCCTCATATATTTTTGTCTTGATTTCTATTATTTTTAGTTTATTTTTATTATTTTTTTATTTTATTTTTATTATTTTTTATTTTAACTATTTATTGTTTTTTCAATTTATTTTTATTTTACTTGTTCAAAAAAATATTTAAAAAAAAATTTTTTTTTTAATTTTTATTTATTTTTTTAAATATATATATATATAAGAAAAATGTGCAACTTATCGTCAACCATATATCAACACTTTATTATAATTACACACGCATCGTATACATATACACAGAATATAATGTATATATATAATATCTCTTTCGTAATACAATGTACATGTATAATAATACAACTTTTTTTTTTATTTTGCAATACCTTATTAAATACCACATCTGCTTATGTATAGACGCTCGTTTTTCAAGTTGTTGTTGTTGTTGTTTTTTTTATTCATTTACCACAACTTCGCGGTTTTATTTAACATTATGTAACAACGTGCATGTATATATATGTGTATATTTATACAATATACATACATACATACATGCATAAATACATAATATGTATATCGAATATAAACTACAATTTATAATTATCATATATTATTTATTATATATAATAATATTAAATAATTTATTAACAATAATATAATATATATCCTTTTAATATATATTTTCCAAGAAAATTATACAATCATATAATGTCGTTTCAACTATTAGGCAAACAAATGTATAAATAACGATAATTATATACCATAATATATTTATAATAATATTATATAACTAGTAAATATATTTTTATATATAATATACGCATATATAATTTTCTCCGCATTCTGTATAATATATTCCATATTATATATTGCATGTTGCATATTATATATTATATATTGTATATTGTATAATATATATTATACTATATTTAATATACTATATTTACTATACATATTATTGTAAACTATATAATATACCCTATGTATATTATATATTTTATATAATGTGCAGTAAATTAAATACTTTATATTATATGCAGTATATTGTACACTGTATATTATTTACAGTATATTATAAACTGTATATTATTTACAGTATATTATGTAATATAATATACACGGTATATTATTTAAAGTATATATTATATACTATTTATTATACACTGTATATTATTTACAGTATATTATACACTGTACATTATTTACAGTATATTATACACTGTATATTATTTACAGTATATTTTACACTGCAGATTATTTACAGTATAGTATATATTACCATAGTATACAGTACCATATATTATACATTATATTTAACTATTATATTATAATATTAATATATCAATGCATATTTTATTTAACATCGTAAATTGAATTTGATTTTTTGAAAATTTTTTTTTTTCATTTCGATTTCGTTATACATATATATTATATTATTGTACAGAAAATAAATATGCATGTACGTATGTATATGTATATTAATCTATTTTATTTATATATAATAATAATTCTCCGTCTGTAATAATATTATATTTATTTGTACACGCGGTGCATACAGAAAGTGTCACGTGTTCTCGCGTGAAAAAATAGTTTCAACCATAATTTTTATTTTATTAATTTTTCTTTTTCTCTTTTCTTGCTATATGATAAATATTTGATCTTTACATAATAATTTCGATCAAAGTGTATGTGATATTTATATTTATATATGTATATATTGGTATAAGAAAGGATATATTTATCTTTCTTAAATAACAAAAATTGCGATATATACTTTATATAATATACAATATAATTCATTGACACTGTTTTGTACACCCCGCATATATAAAAAAGTTATATAATCTCTCCAGAAAAGTCCCGCTTTTATTATTTTTTTTTCTTATTCTATCGACTTGACTGAAAATAGTTTATATTTTCGTTTTTTATATATAATTTAGTTTTATTTATTATTTTTGTTTGCAACTTCCTTTGGCTTTCATTATTGTGACTTGATTGTATATCGTTCGATTGTGTGACACTTTTGAGGCCTAGGAGCATTTTACATTTTTTTTTTATTTTCTTATAACATTTTTAAACATTATGACTTACAAATTTATTGCCGTTCCTGTTCTACTAATTAAGTAGTAATTAATTAATAAATTAATTAGTCAATTAATTAATTAATAAGTTATTAATTATTGAAATTATTTAATTTAATTTAATTATTAAATAATTAAAATTACAAAATTATAAATATTAAATAAAAATTTTAAAATTATAATTTTGAAATAATCAATTCATTAATTAATCAACTCTTCAATATTGGTAGATTACAATTAAATTCTCGAGTATTTCATTTACATTGAAATTTTCTGTTTTTTTTTATTCATCATTTTGTTTTTACATTTTTTTTTTAATTTTATTGACTTTTCTTTGTTGATTTCGAGTCGTGTTCCTAGCTCAGTGTCAGGCACGTTACGACGAACCTCTGAGAATCGCGTTTGATATTCTAATGAACTTTTTATTTTTTATTTATTTTTTTTTCTTATTTTTCTATGTTTTCAAAATTTTTTGATGATTTGAAAAATGAAGAACTGTTTTAATGGAGAAAAGAAAAGATTTTTTTACCCTTTATATATATGTAAACGATTCCAACGTATGTTATTTTAACTTTTTTTTAATATGTTTTCTTTTTAAATATCTATTATTATAATATATATAATATAGAAACAGATATGTAACTCGTAACAAATATTTTACAACTTTTTTTTTAAAAAGCATTTCTTCTTTGTTTAAAAGAACAAAAAAGTCTAGTTTGGAGGGGGAAAAACTGTTTAATATACAGATATTTATGTATATATATTCTCTTCTTCTTTTCATAAAATTTTCGTATACATGAAACATGAAAGTCAAATATTTTATTTAATCAATAATTTAATATTTATTGACTATTTACTAAACAATATTAAAATTTTAAATAAAGATTTAATTAATAGAATTCATATTTACTAAAAGTTTAATTAAAAAAAAAAAAAAAAAAAAAAAATCATTTGTAAACTTTTGCCCTCTTTCTAGTATGTTTACAATATATATACATATATATTTATGTATCTAGATATAATTTTACGAAAATACGTTCAGCTGGGATTTGGCGATACCTTTTTTCTTCAAAATTTTTTTTTTTTTTTTTTGATAAGAAAAGAAAGGTATAAAACCTCACCGTTTGCTTTTTAATTCTAGGACACATTACTTTGTACTGTTTGTTCTACGGTTGCTCTTAATTCTATCTATCTAGGACACTCAGCCGATCTTTTTTTTCTACGACTCGTTCCACATTATTTTTTTTTCTCTTTTTCTTATATATTTCTATTATAATTTTTACACAACCATTTCTGCATTCGTAACATCGAGGTAGATGTCTTTTTCTAACAGGTGAGAGAGAAAAAAATTAAAAGAGAAAAAAAATATATTAAGTAAATAATAGTGAAAATTTAAATTTTAAATATTTGTATAATAAATAATAGATGAGTAAAAATAGACAAATATAATTTTTTTTTAATATAATGTTTGTAATTTATATTAAAATTTTATAAATATCTGACAAAAATTATGCAAAATGAATGTAGAATTTAATATAACAATATAAAATAAAATTTAATACAAAATTTAAAAAAAAAAAAAAATGATTAACAAACAGGCAAATATTAAATTATAGATTTGATATTTGAGAAATTGAAACAACAAAGTTTGATTAAAAAAATAAATTGAATTTAATAAAGAAAGAATCAAAATTTAAAAAAAAATTTGCGAAAATTGGGTGCTTCTAAGCTTTGCGCGTTGGTGGAAGAAAAGACAAATTTTCTTTGTGAAAAAAATAGAAATTCCCTGGGAGTAAAAAATGACAAGTTCTTATGAAAATTTGTAAATAGTCATTGATGACTGAATGAGTGCCAGCTCACAATGCCATAAAATTTATTGACGCTAACTACCATCATCATCATCATCATCATCATTATCATCATCATCATCATCATCATCATCAGTCACCCTATTCCTACCAGCGCTTCGTCAGGAGAAAAATATTTCGCTCGATGAAAAATACACATTTTTAATCGTATTAAACGGTGTCTCAACTAGTTCTCGATTTTTAATTCCCTGCATTTCAGTTTATGAACGTGTATATTTTTTTATACTCTATATATAATGTAATAAAAAAACGTAATTTAATATAATGTATTATATATAATTAATAATTATTTTAATATACATATCATAGAATATATAATATAAAGTATACTATGTAATATATAATGTAAATTATATATTGTATATTGTATGTAATATGCTTTTTGTTGCCTAAATACTAAATTAAAAAAAAAAAAAAAAAAAAAAAAAAAATTGGTCTTTTTTTTATTGCATATATTACATACAGTATATAATATAAAATATAAAATTTATCATAGTGTTGCATAAAGTTTAATAAATATATATTGATTTTGTTTTCCGGTTCGTAGCATTGTATTCATGAATTTAATTTTTCCACTGACAATTTACTATACTATTGTCTAAGTCAAGGGCGTCGGAAAATGAAACGAACCATGAAATAGAACAAACATTTTTTTTAAAGACCTCACAATTATTTATTATTATTATATTATTAAATGAATCTTTTTTCTTTTAGAATAAAAAGGAAAGGAGGTTTTTTTTCATTTTTTTTAATAAAGACAACCTTTTGCTTTAAATTTTAAAGCTCAACAAAAGTTTCAGTTGAAATCTTAGACTGAAAAAGCAGCAATTTCTTCCCAACCTATATATTAAATACAATGCAATTACATTAATTGGATGTTTCTATTGTTGATTTTTCAAGGAGCGACAAGCCCTCGCCGGCAATATATATATTTTATATTATATATATATATATATATATATATATATATATATATATATATATATATATATATATATATATATATATATAATATAAATTATACAATCTATATAAAACATATTATTTAATTTACAATATATAATATATAATATATAATATATAATATATAATATATAATACATAATTTGAATTTAAACGTGTAATTTAGTAATTTATTTAAAATTATAATATTATAATATTAAAATTAAAAATTATATTATAGTATAAAATATACTCATTATACAACATAAAATATTCAATATACATTACATAGTATACATTACACAATATAATTATAATACTATAATATATAATATAATAATCATATTATATATAAAATAATAATAATAATTGATATATTTGCATTTTTCTAAGTCTTTATGTCGCCGTTGATTCTACTTAAGCTAAGTCACTCTTTATTTTTCTTCTTATTTTTTTATTTTTACATTACTTAAATTTTATACAATCGAAAAAGCTCGAAAAAAGCGCATCTCAGAACGACAATAAAATTTTTTTATATATATTTAAAAAATAATCTCGGATTAGAAATAAATTTTTATTTTTTTTTTTACAATAATTTTCTTATCAGTATAGATCGTTTTGAGATTTCGAACTTTTTAAACAACAATATTATTTTTTTTTTGCTTTTAATTCATTTTTTTCAAATCAATATACATATATATATATATATATTTATAATTCCCTTTTTTTTATTATAACGCTATATAATTAGACTAGAAATTTTTTTTTTAAATATACGAATCGCGCCATAAAATTTTCCAAGCCACTTTATCGTCCCTTTGAGCAAATTATGAAATTGCTATGTAGATACAAAATAATATTTCTATTTTTTTATTTTCTATTCTCGCTTTTATTATCAATTCTCGATGGGTTTTTTTTTTGTATTATAGAAAAATTTTTTATTTAAATTGTATTTTTTTAAAGATACATTTATAATTTAAAATATGTGACGCGCGCTTCGAAGAAAGGTAGCTGAAAAAAAAAGAATTTTAAGGTTATGTTTCGGTTATTTATACATTAGTTATAAAAGTTTCTGTATTTAATTAATTACTAACACAATAATATTTTTTAATTTTATTTATTAATAGTTTTTACTGATTATTTTGGATGAAATGAAGGCTCAAAAATTAATGTTTTATATTTTCAATCTCTTTGTGTATTCTCCCTCCAAAAATGATAAACATAACCTAAAATTTTTTGCTTCTTAGGTTCTTTTTTTCGGAGCTCGTCACATATATTTTATATTATAGATTCAAATATTTTTTAAAATATACTTTATACAATATAGTTTAAAATATATTTTATACTGTAGTTTGAAATATATTTTATACTGTAGTTTGAAATATATTTTATACTATAGTTTGAAATATATTTAAAAATGTAATGTAAATTGAAAAAATTAAAATACAATTTAAATTAAAAATATATATTTTAAATATATATTGATAGTAGAAATAGAGGAGGAGAGGGGAAAATAATTAAAATAAACAAAATATCTTGTGCATTTTAAGAAAAAAAAGTGGTCACTTAACTTTTTTTTTAAAAGCGAGAATTTCTTCGATTTTTCCTTTTTTGCAGAAAATTAAAAACAAGGAGTGCAGTGCATTAAAAACAATTTTTTTTCTCTTATTCATATTATGAGGTAGATCCATCGTCAAAATATACTTCGAAAAATTCACGCGCAGTTTATTCAATATTTTATATCATGTAGTATCTCTCTCTTTCATCAAGAGTTTCTCACTCTTTATTTTGATTTTTTTTAAAAAATATGATTTTAATAGAATTCACTCCCTGCGATTATATGAATAAATGGAGAAAAGAAAAAAGATTTTCGAGATACTGAGAAATATTGAGAAATTATATATTTTTTCTGTCACAGCAACGATTTTCCCTAAAAATAATTTATATATTAGCGACGGTTTTATTTATTTATTTATTTTTTTTTTTGCAATTGGTTATAATACTTTCATTGGCTATTGACGTTATTTTGAAAAAATATTTTTTTTCTTAAAATGTATCACTTATTCTTTTTTTTTTGGCAGGATTGCAAATTTTTTCAATTCTCGATAATTTTTCTTCTTTTCAATATTTATTGCTTTACAGAAAATTATTGTATTTTTGTTATTTAAATTATTTATAATGAATTTTTTGAAATTAACTTAATTAATTGATAGAATTTTTAAAAGTAGAATTTTCCTGTAGTTAAATATTTAAATTATAGTATTTTTATGAGTTTTTATGTGATTGAATAATTTAAAATTCACTGGAGAGTCATTAAAAAAATTACTAGAGTTTTCAATGATAAAAATCACTAGAATGTACAGAATTGAATAGAAAGTATAAAAATTAATTTCTTGTAAATTTTTAAACGACAGAAAATTTTCAATAATTACAGTAGGAAAATAAGTTAACTGGAGTGATAAAAATTCACTGTGGGGATTCAATATCAAAATTTTATTAGTTTTAAAAATTCTGTAGTGATAAAAGTCACTAGGGGACTCAATAAAAAAAGTTACTGGAGTTTTCGTAATCAAATTCCGTTGAAACTACTTTGAGGAAAAATTTTAAAAAATAATTTTTTTTTGTAAAAAACGCTAGTTGTAAAAATAACTAGTTAATAACAATAAAAATTACCCGAAGAATTAAGAATAAAACACTAATTTTTCTTAAAGAAGTAACTAAAGATTTAATAACAAAAAATTACTAAAGTTTCGATGTAAAGTGTCCTTTTTTAGTAATATTTCGAAAAGCAAATACTTCCCCAAAATATTTTTGTATTAAAAAAGTTTTTTTGGCAAAACTTAACAAGGGATTCAAGAAAAAGTTCTTATTTTATTCAATAAAATTATTAAAGTTTCAATTAATAACTTTCTAAGGGAATAAAAGTTACTAATTCTTGAAAAAGTTACTAGAGTTTCATAACAGTTAATAACAATTTATAAAGAGTAACAAAAATAACAAAACAATTAGCAACATTATAACGAATAACAAGAAAATTTCTACAATTAAATAACTGGAAGTTTATTTATTAAGAATGGTAAAAAATAATAATAAAAAAATATAATAATAGTAACAAATAAAAGAAATAGTAAAAAATAATAAAATTTAGTAACAAAAATAGTAAAAAGTAATAAAAACTAGTACCAAATAATAAAATAGAAAAAAGTAATAAAAACTAGTAACAAATAATAAAATAGTAAAAAATAATAACGAATAATAAATAAATTAATAATAAAAAAAATAATAATAATAAAAATAATAATAAAAAAATTAATTCTTTTATAACTCCACAAAAAAATTTCCAAAATTCTAAAAAGATAAATACAAACATAAATTAAAATTGATTAATAAAAAATAACTAGAAACCTCTAGAAAAATTACTAGGGTCCAATTAACAGAATTACTAGAGTTTTCATAAAAAGGAATAAAAAATTTTGTCATACTAAATTATTAGTAAAACAAATAACTAAATTTTTACAAACTAATTTACTAGAATTACAAAAATAAAATTACTAGAATTGCAGAAATAATAATATTACTAGAGTTTCGTTAAAAACTTTAAATAATTATAAAAGAAACAAAAATTATTATTTCCTCTAACAAATGTTACTCTAGATTTGTTAAAATTTCAACAAATTTCTAAAAAAAAATTCAGAAATAGAAAAAATTGTTAGAATTTCGTTATCGAAACGTAATAAGGGACTTTTCAAAAAATCACTAGAGTTTTATAACAAAATTATCAATTCTAGTATTTTCGAAAAAAATCCTTTAATCTATAACAAAAGTACCGTAGATTCGATATAATAATAATAATAATAATAATAAAAAAATATAATTAGTCTTTACAAAATATAATTATTCTTTAAAAAGAAAAAAATAATTTGTCTTTGCAAAAAAAAAAGTTGCAAGAAAAAAATAATTATTTTGTGCAAAATAATAATCTTTACAAAAAAATAATTAGTCTTTATAAAAATATTAGTCTTTATAAAAAAATAATTAATATTAATTATTAATATTAGTCTTTATTAAAAAATAATTAATTAACTATTGGTTAATTAATTAATAATAATAATTATTAATAGTTAATTTTAATAAATTAAAATGAACTTTACAAAAAAATTAGTCTTTAAAAAAAAATTCGCTTAGTTCCAAAAAATAATTACTCTTCATTAAAAAAAAATTTACTAGGCGTCAACAATAAATTCTCTAGTAATGGACAAGATGTAACAAAGTTTAGGAACTTTTGATATAACAATATTCCTGATATCGATTATTTTCCCATTTTTTTTTTTTTTTTTTGACCTAATACACTAGGAAAATATCAGTCAATTTGAAGTTATTTTTCTGTTTTAAGGGAACGAAAAGTGGACTCGCAATTATTATTTTTTTGTTTGTTTGTCGCTTGTCCCTCTTAATTACAACGCTCCCTTTATCCCAGATTCATTATAAATTCGTTTACTCGAAATTTCTCTCTCACTCTCACGCACATATACACAATTTTATATATATGAGGTAATCCTAAAACTCATAAATAATTTTATGAGTACACTTTTGAACGCAGCGGGCTTTTTTTTATCAAATAACATCTCCGATTTATTTTCTTTGTTTGTTAAATATTTTAAGCTAAATTTTATACGCTAATTTTTTTTTATTTGTAATTACACATTTAATTCAACTTATTTATAGTCATTTTTTGTGTATCGTAACATAATTTTTTGCTTTTTTTTTTTTTTTATTTACGACTAGTAACACTTTACAAACGAGATCACATAAAAAATAAAGAATTACAATCCTTTACTTTTACTGTTTTTTTTTTTTTTTATTGACTCTTATCGTGCGCGTAAATGTTTGATTCTTTTTCCCGCCTCGTAACGAGATTCACGAACTCTATATAGCCAAAGACACAGCCCTATTGATTATTATTTTTTCAGACGAGAATTTTCTTTTCTGTCATTTCGATGGAAAAATTTCATTCATCTGCAATTATTTTTCTTTCGTGTATTTCTCAAAAATTGTTGTGTCAATTTAATTTGTTACGTGAGAAATGTTCTTAAAGCAAAAAAAAAATAGATAAAGTTTTAAGAAAACGAAGAAAACAAGTTGAGAACACTGTGCGGCGTTTAGGAGTGGGGGTAGTATGGAGTGGGAAGCCCCACTACTCGCCTTCCCCCTCCACCGAACGCGGCCACTGTTCTCAACTCGGATCCTCACTTTTACTATAATTTACTCGGATTTTACAATTTTACTAATTTTCCCAAAATTATATTAAAAAATTAATTAAATTAATTCATAAGTTAACAATTAATAAATTACTAAATTAACAATTAATAAATTAATAACTATTAAATTAATAATAAATTAGAAATGAATAAGTGAGAAATTTTAATTTGACGTAACTAATTTTTTTGAAACAACAATTTTTTTCCTTTCCAAACAACGACTTTGGAACAACAATATATTATAGAGAAAAGCAACAATATTAAAATGTTATTTCTTTGAAACAACGATAGTTTTTTTTATGATGATTCATTTTTCTTTAAAAAGTGTTAATTTTATTGTCTAAGGGAATAAAAAAATTTGTATGAGAAAAATCCAGGTCTCATCATTTGTTTTAAAAAAGTTTTTCATTAATAAATATATTTTTTTTTTCACCTTTTCCATCGAGAGACCAAAAACTTTCTCATTTCTTTTTTTTTTTTTTTGAGAAGACATTTCCACTGAAGATCATCGCCTCAGTGTGTATCATTCTTTAAAAGAAAAATAACTTAAACGAGAGTATCAAAAGACATTTTAAAAAAAAAAATTTTTTTTACAAAAAAATTGTAAAAGATAAAAAAATTCATTTCTAGCTTGATTTTTTTTAATACTAATTTTAAGTCCACTGGATAAATTCATTTTGGAATTATTGTTTAAAAATTTTTTTAGGCCTGCATTCGACGATTAGTTGTGCCTCTATTTTTTTTTATTGTAAAACAGTGGAAATGTCGACTTGCAAATTCACGTAAAACATCAGTTTTTTTATTTTCAATATAAATTGTAGATTCTAATTTTATTTTCGAAAAAGTAAATTTTTAGTTTAATTTGAATTTAGCGGGTTTTCTTTTGAAGTTTCGGTTGAGAATCCTCGACGCGGAGGAGTGGGGGATGCGCGCGCACTGGCTCCGCCCCCACGCTATCCCCACTCCTCGGCGCGCGGAGTATTCTCAACTTCAGCGCCCCGACAACTGCACAAAATTTCTTAGAAATATTTTTTTTTAAAAATGACAGACGATTTACGTGAACGTGAATAATCCTCGATTCTCAATAGTATTTTCTATACAGTTTGAACTATAAAGCCTAAAGTACACTTTTTCTAAAATATACTCAGCTTTTTTTTTGAAATCGCATTTTCCTTACTTACACCAATAAAAACCTACTTTTTGAATTATTATTTATCTATAGAGCGACACCTGGACAAATGGCAAAATTTTTTTTTTCATTGCTAATAACTACATTTTTTTTGTCAATATTTAACTAACTTCTCTCATCGAATCATTCACACTTTTTTCATTTTTTTTTTTTTGTTCAAGGAAAAGGGGGAATTTATAAATCACAATACTTACACACGACGCTTTTTTTATACAAGCTGAAAAATTATTTTCAATTATTTCTTTGACAAATTTTCCTCTTAAATGAAAAAAAGAAAATGTAAAATTAAATCATCTTGACGATGATGGAAAAAAATAAAATTTCCCTCCTTCAAGAAAGATATATTTGTCATAAAAAAGAAAGGAAAATAATCACTGTCGTAAAAGATGGATTGCGATTTATAGAAAATATATTTTTCAACAATTGGCTTATTTTTTTTTTTGCGAGGAAGATAAAACGAGTTCACTTCATTGCGAAAGTGGATAAAAGTCACGATCCTCATTAGGCTTGAATTTCTTTTTTTTTTATTAATTTATAATAGGAAAACGTTTTTTTTTTGTTCTTATCTAGCTGTGACTGAAAACTTTTTCAAACAATTTCCGTGTATTTGAGAGGAGCGAACGTCACTCCTTTCCGTTTAGTCTCACCATTATTATTATTATTATTGATGATGAACTCTCGATTGTATTCCCATAATTTTTGAATATCGTCATCAGAATATGTGGATTTTGAATTTTTCTTATCTAATTTCGTCGTCTTCGCGCATCCCGATGAAAGAATCTCGATTGACGATTTTCATGATGAATCGTCAGAATATAAAGAAATGTTGGGTCAAACCTGTTGCGATGTAATGAGATCCGTTTTACTTGAATTCTTGAGAATTGACGGACCCGGTAATTTTTGCGATGATCCCATTGAATTGGCCGGTTGTACTGTCATTGGTTGCCCGTTCACCAAAACTATTGTGTCACGTACCGATTCGTATCCCAATGGACCACCCACTTGAAGAAGATTTGGAATTATTTGTGAGGGAATGTTTTATGAGGTTTGATAAGTATTTGTATTTTTGTGGAATAATTACCGGGAGATTGGGAGTAGGTCATTGTTCTCGAGGGTGTCAAATGATTCCGAGAAGCTGGACCCCAGTCGAGTGTTGGCTGCAGGAGCATTCGAGCTCGACACCAGACACTTTCGTCAATCCCCTTTCGTCCAACTCTCTGCGAACCACCGGCGTTCAGATAATCATCATCGTAATCGTCGTCGTCGTCGTAGGTCGGTTTTCGACGTCGTTTCCTCAACTGGATCTGAAGAACCCAACAAGGATTGGTAATCAGTAGAATTGAACATCGGTTGGATTAGGAGAAGTAAAATTGATAGTAAGATTAGGAGAAGTAGAGTTTATAGTACAGGATTAGGAATAACAGAATTAGAAGCAGGATTAGATTAAGGAAAAGTAGGATTAGCTTCAGGAAAAGTAGGACCAGCAATTAGGAGGTTTATTGGAAGTGAAAAGACTTACAAGAGCCATGCCAACAATGACGAGGACGGGCAACATTCCGACGACCCAGCCAACGGCGTCCGCCCATCGGGGATAAACATAAGTGCCATATTTAAGTGGTTCGTATTCCACCCAATTAAAGAAGAGGATGAAGAAAAGTGCGGCTGGCGTCACCACTTTCCACATCCACGTCCAGAAGAATCGCCAAAGTCTGCAGCGGACTCCAATCATCTGCTGCACGTCGTCGAGAAAACGATCCGCACCATAAATCCACGCAACCAAAATACACTCCGTAATTGCAATCAGAAGGACTGACCAATTCGCCGCGTACTTGTCCATAAGCTGCAGCCAGTACATCCCGGCCTGTAAATCCACTCATTGTTACGTTCCTCCAAAAAAAAACCAGAATTTAAACCAAATTCCATCATCAGCATTCGGAATTTACCTCTCCCACAACTATCAATTTTGGAATTTACAATTGAGACTCTTGGTGCGATGTTGTAGCACCCAGACCTTCAATTTAAATAAACCATAGTATATACTAAATCATAGATATCCTGGTATATCCACACGGCAGCAAATTCTGATGATGGAGTTTCGTGGAGAACAATCTGTTAAATTATAAACAATCCACTTACTCTGGTTGTGAAGATAATGCCGCCAGCGTAACCAACAACAGCAGCTCCCAATACAACCCAGAATTTATAATTCCTCAACGATGGAATTCCATCCAGAATTGCCGTTGTCACAGTTTCCATCAGAGCGAATTGCGAGTCAAGTCCCAACGTGAGGAGCATCACGAAAAACAAAAGTGACCAAACCGGAGCGACTGGTAACCTCGCAACAACCTTCAGAGACAATTTATCTAATTACTTCTAATCAAACAGTATTAAAAAATAAAATATTACAATTCTACCTATCGTTCGACCTACCGTCAGGAAACTACATAATGAATATTGTAAAAATAGTACCTCTGGATATACAATGAAGGCTAATCCGGCTCCTTGATCGACGACTTTAGCAACCGGAACATTGAGTTCGTGTGCCAGGAAGCCAATGACAGAGAAGATGACCAAACCGGCAAAAAACGAGGTGCCAATGTTACTGACGGCGACAATCAATGAGTCCTTGTAGCAATTGTTGGAGAATTTATTATACGAACTCAAGGTGATGAGACCACCCCACGCTGGACTCAAGGCGAAGAATATTTGTACTGCAGCATCGCCCCAAACTTTTGCTGATGATAATCTTCGCCAATCTGGTGTCAGGTAGAATAGAATTCCTTCGTCAGCGCCAGGAAGCAGTATTCCTCGGATGAACAAGGCGATCTAAAAAATCGTATTCGATGTTTATTACAAAAAAGAGAGTCCTTTAATTTCTAGACACAATTAGTGAATGGATATCAACACAAAGAAACAGCAATCGATGAATTGGGAATTAATTTCTGAAACATGAAATAAACTTCAAATGCAGCATCATGATTTGATGGAGTTATGGTTTCTAGATGATCCTTTTTGTCCATCTGCTCATCAGTTTGAATTTCAGTTTGTAAACCTTCATGGCAAACGACCAGTTCGTCATCTACTTCATCAGAATCGTTAATCCAGTCAAGAGGAGAATCATTAACTTTTCTCAATTCACCACAAACAGTTTGAGTCTTGATGTTATGAATTGTAAAGTCTATTATCGTTTTTGTTTCTGGATCTGCCTTTCCCTGTTATCTATATTATAACCAAATCGGTATTCACCTTTCGAATCTACCTTTCCTGGTGTAGGAATGCTAAATCCAAAAACCGTTTTAATACCGGGTATAGAAAAAAGCAAACAGATGAAATCCCAGTTATCAAGTATCTACATAATCCAGTCTCCCCTAATTTTCAACTAGTTTCTCAGCTATAATGTCATCTAAAGACTGTCCAACAAACTTTAGTTCCCCCCCCCCAACTATAATTCTTTGCTTCTTTCCCAAAATTCACCCAATTCTTTTTGGAACATTCTTATCGGATTATAAAAGGAAGAAAACTCACCAGCACTACGTAGGGGAAGAGAGCAGTAAAGTATACAACTTTTCCCGAACTCTGAACTCCTTTACTAAGGCAGAGAAAGACGATAATCCAGGCTAATAAAAGGCAGGCTGCCATCTTCGGATTCACGGGTCCCGTTTCCTCGATTCCTCGACTCATGTTCAGCACGTGATTACTGGAAATTTATCAAATATCAAAATAACATTTCTCTTCCAAAATAATTAACAAATTGTTCCATTTCATTCATAACATCCAAAAAAAAAATTGTTCCAAATTCCAAAACTTATCAAAGTTTTGAAATTCACGAGATAAAGTTTCATTTACTTGAAATATTCCTCGGCAGGTGGTTTTCTAATGAAGGCGGCGACATCTTCAATTGTAAGATTTATAGAAGCAAGTTGGGTCGAATTTAGGCATTCGTTCTTGTAATATGACAAATTCTGTTCTAGGCATGCGTCAGATACTTCCGGAGTAACACAATCTTCTGTACTCCACGCTGGGTCACACTTGCTCCAAGGCAATTCACCCCCACCTTTAGAAGAACAACAAAAAATCGAATATTACGTTCAAAAAAATTTCAAAAATATTTTCTTGTTTTTAATTTCAAAAAGAAAAAATAAATTTTTTGTACTTGTGAGTGATACCAGAGAGTTTGGGTGAAAAAAAAAATAATAAAATTGCAAAATCTCTAGAAAGCGAGGAATTATAAAATCGAGTATAGTAGCGAGAAGGATCTCGTCAGAGTCTTTTCTCTTAAAAGCTTTTTAATCTACCTAGACAAAAGGGGTGCACCCTTGAGTGGAAATAATGAATATTGCAGACAATGAAAGTGTGCCTTTCTTTTAGACTTCTTATCCACTTATCACGAAAAGTATAGTTGTCAAGAAGGGAAATTTTTTCTTCTAAATAGCAAAAGAATTTTTGGTAACAATTTTTTTTTAATTGTTGACAAAAAATGTTTGACATTTGAACTTTTTTGGAAAACATTTCCTTTCTGAATTTAAAAAAATAATTTTATTAAGTTTAAAATTCTTTGAGTGTAGAATTTTTTTAAGCTTAAAAAAAATGTTTCAATAGAAGATTTGAATTATTTTCTTACCCGCTACGGATGCGAACATGTAGTAAAGTGTCCAAGCGATGATTAGATTATAATACAGCATCACTATGGAACTTACAAGAACCATTCCATAACCAAGACCACGAAGTAATGGACAAAATCGTTTGTAAGCTGCCACTGGACCCAGACTTGCATATTGACCTAAATTGCGTTTCACAGGAAAATAAATAATCAATACCAACAGCAAAAGCGCAAAATTTTTTTATTTTTGCATTTTTAATTCAGTATCCACTTTCGGTGCTTATTATATATGTTAATATTGTCATTAATTTCAGGATGAGTTGTAAATGGACTCTCTAGCAATAAGAGGAATTATAACAACAAAAAAAGTTAAAATATCAACGAGAAAAAAAAAGATATGATGTTTTATTTATAGTTCAATGAACATGATACGAGATTTGATCTCGTGAATATTTTTCCTCGCCAAGGGGAATTTAATTTCAAAGACTAGAAGGCAATGTATACACAAAAATGCAAGAAGCAACGTTTTGGAACGTGAAACATCGATTAAAATTCTTTCTAAACTGTCCGGTTCGGTAGGCTCAATAAAATCAATTATGTTTTATGTATGATTCTTTATTTATGCGATAAATCACTAAAAATCAGGTCAAAACAATATTTTCCTGATTCATTTGCCAATTGTCCCTAAGGCACAAAATGTTAAAATACAATCGTTAATTATTTAATCAACAAAAAGGCAGACAAATTATGATGATTTTTTGAATTCTCTGTTGCATCAATATTCTTTTCATTTAATGATGATAAAAGTACGAATTTATTTTTATGATTTCCAATTCTGTTGATGATATAACAATTATTTTTCAGATTGAAAAACGTAAATAAAAATCTACCTTTCAAAGTGGAACATTTATGCGATGACAATTAGTGGTATGCTAATGAATTGATGAATTATACGGAAGCTGTTAAATGTGTTTAATTAAAGTGATGCAATACTTGAGTTTCGAGAAAAGTGCTGTGGCAAAAAATTTGTTTTGTATTTATATTGTTAATTTAGGGAGTTATGAATAATAAAATGTAAATAAAAAGCAATTGTAAACAAAGTAAATAAAGTAAACAAAGAAAGTGAATAAAAAGGAGTTTTACATAAAAAAAAGACAAATAAGTTGCAGATAAAAAAAAAATTAAATAAAAAGTAGTTGAGAGAATTAGTTAGTGTGAAAGGAAAACCAAAAACCAACAAATAGGAAAATTTTAGGGTAATTAAAGGGATTTTTTGCAGTACCTAGAGAGAGTTCCATGAACATCAGTGGCAGACCGGCAATGATGAGCATTATGGTGAACGGAATGAGAAAAGCACCGCCTCCATTCGAATAACAAAGATATGGAAATCGCCAAACATTGCCAAGACCAACACTGTAGCCTAAAAGTGACAAAAGAAAGTCAAATTTTCCAGTCCATGTTCCACGTTCCGGATGATCATCGTCGCCACCCTGAAGTGGTGCTTGACTATTTGCCACTGAGTACTTGTCCTCATTCTGAAAACACGTGTTCAGAACAAAAAAATTACAATCTTCGCAAATGGTACAAAAATACTGAAAATCAGGAGGAAAAATTTTTTGAAACAAATAAAAATCACCAAATTAACGAAAGTAGCGCATGTAACAGAATTTAATAAAATTAACAACTAACAAAAGTAACAAAAATAGATAAAGGGGCAGAAATAGCAAAAGTAAGGCAAAAATATCAAGAATAACAATAAAAATATCAAAATTAAGGAAAAAAATAACAAAGAAACAAAAGTAACAAAATTAACAAAAGCAACAAAAGTAACAAGAGCAACAAAAATAACAAAAGTAACAAAAGCAACAAATGTATCTAATGTGTAAAAGTAACAAAAATAACAAAAGTATCGAAAATAGCAAAAGGAGCAGAAAAAGAAAAAGTAACAAAATATAAAAATTAAAATAAAAGTAACAAAAGTAGAAAAAGAAACAAGAAAGCTAATGAATCAAAATTATAAAAAGCAAAAAAAAAAGTCAGAAATAGTTAAAAGTAACAAAAATATAGAAAATAACAAAAAAGTAACAAAGAAATAATATATTATTTCTTTGTTACTTTTTTGTTAATAATGCTAATATATTAGCAAAAGTGATAAAAATATTAAAAATAGCATAGTAAATAGTAGGAAAAATAGCAATTGGAGCAGAAATAGAAAAAGTAACAAAAGTAACAAAAATATCAAAATTAGTATAAAAGTAACAAAGTAACAAAAGTAGAAAAAGTACCAAAAAAAGCTATAGATTCTAAATTATAAAAAGCAAAAAAACAGCAAAAGATCAGAAATAGCAAAAGTAACAAAAATATCAAAAATAACAAAAAGAATAGCAAAAAGAGCAAAAATACCAAAAGTAACAAAAATATCAAAAAAAAACCGAAATAGCAGAAGTAGCACAAGTAACAAAAATATCAAAATTAACACAATAATTAACAAAGAAACATAATTCGCAAAAAGAAACAAAAAATTTAAAGAATCAAAATTATAGAAAGCAAAAAAAAAGAGAAAAAGGTCAGAAATAGCAAAAGTAACAAAAATATAAAAAATAACAAAAAATTAACAATGAAATAATAGTAGCGAAAGTCATAAAAATATTTAAAAATATCAAGAGTATCAAAAATAGCAATTGGAGCAGAAACAGAAAAAGTAACAAAAGTAACAAAAATATGAAAATTAGCATAAAAGCAACAAAGTAACAAAAGTAGAAAAACTAAGAAAAAAAGATATAGAATCGAAATTATAAAAAGCAATAAAAAACATAAATAGGTCAGAAATAGCAAAAGTAACAAAAATATCAAAAGTAACAAAGAAATAAAGTAGCAAAAGTAACCAGAAATAGCAGAAATTGCTAAAGACATCAAGAATAGTAAAAAGTGCGAGAATACCAAAAGGTAACAAAAATAGCAAAAAGAACAGAAGTAGCAAAAGTAACAAAAATATCAAAATTAACACAATAATTAACAAAACAACAAAATTCGAAAAAGAGCAATAATATCTAAGTACAAAAATTATAAAAAGCACAAAAACAGAAAAAAATTTAAGAAATAGCAAAAGTAACCAAAAAAACTTAAATTAACATAAAAGTAACAAAGAAACAAAAGTATGAAATGAAACAAAAATAGATAAATTATCAAAATTATCAGAAGCAAAAAAATCAGCAAAAATTTCAGAAATATAGCAAAAGTAAGAAAAATACAAAATTAACGTAAAAGTAACAAAATAAAAAATTTTAACTTTTGTTTAATCAAATTGCAATGAATTGTTACAAAAAATGTGAATCCAAATTCATTAATTAATCTAATTTTTTTGTATCAATTTAAACAACTTAGTTATTACTTTCATAAAAATAGTGAAAGAAAGTAACAAATATAACAAAAATAGCAAAAGTTTTGCAAGTTTTTTTGCACTTACAAAAAACTACAAAAGTACCAAAAACAGAAAAAGTAATAAACAAAATAAAAGTAAAACTAATAAAAAAAATTTTCCAGCAAAATAAAAGAAAAAGTAACAAACAAAAATAAAAAATACAAAAAAAATGAAAAAAATATTCCCAAGAGAATTTTTAATATTCGAATTATAACGAAACATGTCCGATTTATTATTGGAATACTTAAAATTCTAGGTATCTATATATTTTCTTCTTATTGTTATATTTTTATGCCTTCCTTTTACTAGATATATTTTTAGAAACATTTTAGTAAGCGGAAATAATATTAGGAGCAATAAAAAAAAAAATTTTTTTTTTCATCGAATACATATAATAAAGATGTGGGAGATAATTGTTACATTAGATTTGAAATGGTGACAGCGTTGGGATCAATAATTTCCAGACTAGCCACAAAACACGAGGCAATTAATCAAATTTATAAACGCGTATATATTATCTAATTTGAATAAAACTGCAGTGATTTAAATGGAAAAAAAGAACACCACACTATACGATTTATATATGACAAAAAGAAAAAAGCAAATTCTATTTCAGAAAATCACTAAAAATATTTTTAATGTCATTAATTTATTACTAAAATTAAAATTTATATGTTCTATTCAAGATGAGATCTAATTAAAATCTTGTCACTAAAATAGTGTTTTTTGAGTGATCGTATTTTTTGGAAAAGTATTTTTTATTTTTAGAAATGGTATATTTTCAGAAAGTATTTTTTTTTTTTTGAGACGTTATTTTTTTATATAAGGCATTTTATAGGACTGTATTTTTTGTATAGAATATATTTTTGCAAATGTTTTTTTTGGGAATTTGTATTAAAAGGTATTTAGTAAAAAGTATTATGTACTAAAAGGAGTTAAAAGTTATTTAAAATGTATTTTTAGAAGGTTTTTAAAAGGTATTTTTATAAGATATTTAAAAAGGTATTTTTTAAAGAGTAATTTTATTTTGTTAACAAAGTATTTTGAATTTTTTTGAAACGGTATTTTTGGAAAGTATTTTGCATTTTTTTATGCTATTTTTCTAGGAGGTATTTATGGAGATATAAAAGTATTTGTATTTTCTCTGAGACGATATTTCTTGAGACGGTACTTTTTATTTTTTTTCAGGCAGTATTTTTTGAAAAGATTGTTTTTGTGAGTGGATTTTTTAATAGAAGGTATTTTTTAAAAAAATATTTTTCCAAAATGTCAATTTTAGTGAGAGTATTTTTTTACACTGTATATTTTTTTGAGACGGTATCTTTTGATACACAATATTATGTCTAGAAGATATTTTTTGAAACAATATTTTTTATGGAAGAAATTTTTATTTTTATGAGACGGTATTTTTTATTTCTATCAGATCATATTTTTTTGAGAAGGTATTTTTATTTTGTTGTGATGACGGTATTTCTTTTTTTGTGATCATATTTTTTGAAAAAGTATTTCTTGTGGCCGTATTTTTTCAAAATGTAGTTTTTTGAAACGGTATTTTTTGAAAAAGTATTTTTTTTAGTAAACATTCTTAAGACGGTATTTTTTGACAAAGTAGTTTTTAAGATGGTATTTCTTGAAAAAGTATTTTTTAACTTGTACTTCCATAGACGGTATGTTTTGAGAAAGTATTTTTTAGAAAGATCATCGTTTTCAAGGCGGTATTTTTTGAAAAAAGTATTATTTAGATTATAGTTCCTAAGACGGTATTTTTTGAAAAAGTATTTCTTGTGTGCTCATTTTTTGAAAATGTAGTTTTAGAAACAGTATTTTTTTTAAGTTGTAGTTCCTAAGACAGTATTTTTAGAAAAAGTATTTTTTGAAAAGGTATTTCTTGTGACCTCATTTTGTAAAGACAATGTAGTTTTTGAAACAATATTTTTAAAAAAAATATTTTTTTAAGTTGTAATTCCTGAGACAGTATTTTTTTAAAAGGTAGTTTTTGAGACTGTATTTTTAGAAAAAGTATTTTTTTAGACTGTTGTTTAGATTGTAGGCGGTATTTTTTGAAAAAGTATTTTTTAGACTGTAGTTTAGATTGTAGGCGGTATTTTTTGAAAAAGTATTTTTTTGGAAAAGATTCCTATAAGACGGTATTTTTTGAAAAAGAATTTCTAGGGTTCGCATTTTTTGAAAATATAGTTTTTGAAGCAGTATTTTTTGGAAAAAATTCTTAAGACTGTATTTCTTGTAAAAGAATTTTGTAACTTGTAGTTCAAAAGACGGTATTTTTTTAGAAAGTATTTTATGAAACGGTATTTTTTGAAAAAGTATTTCTTGTGACCTCATTTTTTGAAAATGTAGTTTTTGAAACAGTATTTTTTAAAAAAGTATTTTTTTAAGTTGAAATTCCTAAGACAGTATTTTTTGAAAAAGTATTGTTTTAGAAATAATTCTTAAGACGGTATTTTTTGACAAAATAGTTTTTAAGATGGTATTTCTTTAAAAAGTATTTTTTAAACTTGTACTTCCATAGAGGGTATTTTTTGAGAAAGTATTTTATGAAACGGTATTTTTTGGAAAGATCGTTTTTAAGGCGGTATTTTATTGGAAAAAGTATTATTTAGGTTATAGTTCCTGAAACGGTATTTTTTGAAAAAGTTTTTCTTGTGACCTCATTTTTTGAAAATGTATTTTTTAAAAAAGTATTTTTTTAAGTGGTAGTTCCTAAGAAAGGATTTTTTTAAAAGGTAGTTTTTGAAACTGTATGTTTAGAAAAAGTATTTTTTAGACTAGTTTAGAGTGTAGGCGGTATTTTTTCTGAAACTATTTCTATAGACGGTATTTTTTGAAAAAGTATTTTTGGAGACGACTTTTTTTGAGAAAGTATTTTTTAATACATTTTTTTAAAAGGTATTTTTTGAAAGGTAATTTTCGACACTTAATTTTTTTAAGAAGTTACTTTTTCAGTTGGTATTTTATCAAATCCTATTTTTTCAGATATTATTTTTACAGAATTAGAGTTTTTTCTCCCAATTTAATGATATTTTTCCAAACCCTATTTTTTTACACTATTTTCTTATTTTTAACTCTTGGGAATATTTTAGCAAAAAAGGAAAATCAAAACAAAAAGTATAAAAAAATAAATAAAAAAAAACTACTCACGTCCCAGGTGTCAATGTAGGAACGAATCCTGGGTGATGAGTCTTCCATTCTCTAATTTATTATTATTATTAATAATTTTTTTTTTGTTTTGTTTCGAAAGGCGACACCTTCTGTACTGTTCGAACTATCTGCTCTCGATCAATGATGATGATCTCTTCTTCTCTTCATGATTATTATCAATATTTGTAAATTTCCACATTCTTCTAAACTTCATTATTGACAAAATGAATGCGTAACGAGGTAATTTTTTTCAATTTCAACTCTTCATTTAGTGCCCGATGAAAAATCATCAAATTTCTTCCTCGTGATTTCATTTCTTCTAAAAAAGCGTCGTTATTAAAAACGACGACGACGACGATGTTTTCCCTTCCTTTTTATTTTCCTTTATCTTTTTTTTTTGCCAGAATGGTTCTTCAAAACTGAAAAAGAAAAAAGAAATCGTTGCTAATTGAAAAGTCGATAATTTTTATTTCTTCAATTAGCAAATTTTGTTTTTTTTTTATATAAAGGAAGATTGAGAGAGAGAAGATGATTTTATGTATAAAAGAAATGAAATAGAAATGAAAGTGATTTTTTTCTGTGTTATATAATGGATATTGATTCAGTAACTACGAATGTAGAACGTATAAAATTTGCCCTTTTTCTCTATTTTTGAAATTTTTGATAGTTAAGAGAAAAGAAATTTTTATTCCTCGAGTTTAAAAGCGGAAATGGTTTTTGAGAATCGAGGGGATGGGGGAAGTTTAAATGAAAATTGAAGGAAACCACTTGATCTAATTCCTCTTTTTATTCCCCTCCTCCTCTCAGTTATCTCCTTCTTGTCCTTCTTCTACTTTTCTCTTATTCTTCTTTTCTTCTCCTTCTTTCCCTTTTTTTCTTCTTTTACAAAATCAACTGAATTTTGAATTTCGTAACACTAAAAAAAAAAAAAAAATTCACCACCCAAATGTCCTTCACCTCTCCATACATCCTTGAACTTCTTTTTCTTCTTTCTTCACCCTCCCCCCCTACCCTTCGAAAAATAAAAAAAATAACCCACTAATTCTTCTCTATTTCAGTGTAAAAAATTTATTTCCCATTTGTCGGCGCAGCTGTTCGCGATCAGCTGTCAAGAAAGCACATCACAATAACAAAATAAAAAAAATGAACTTTGAGAAATTTTTTTTTTGCAAAAGTCACTGTAAAGAGGAAGAAAATTGAGAGAAATGGAGAATTTGGTGAAGAAAGAAGAAGAAAAAGAAGAAGAAATGGGGGACAGTTGGAAAAAGGAAATGATGATAAATAGAGGGTTTTTAACTGGTAGGAAAGTGATGTGGGGTAAAAGTGTACACTTTGGGGATTTCCCTTTTTTTTTAACTTGAAGAGAGCGGGGTGAAAACTAACCGGTGTAAAAACGGCAACGAGGACAAACGAAGGGACGGACGTTCTTAGTGGAAGCGACCCGCGCCCGGCCAGCCAGCCAGCCTGCTTATGGGAGCTTTCGCCTTGCCAACCAGCACCCTTTGTGGTGCCTCAAACTAGACGCTTCAATCGATATTACTGCTCCTGCGAAACCTTGCACTCTCCTCCTCCATCAGTTGCTCTCAGTCTCTCCTCTCACTCTCCTTTTCTCTCTTTTCCTCCCCCCCCCCTCTCTTTCTCTCTCTCTCTCTGACTCTCCTTCTCTCACTCTTTTTCTCTCTTTCTCTTTCTCTCTGGACCTCTTGCCTCCCTCCTACCCCTCATTTCCCTCCTCCCCCCCACTCCTCATTTCTGAAAATCATTTCACACTTCTTCTTATTCCTGTGACATTTCTTCCTCTGAAACGTGTGCATCTGTTCCTCCACTAGTACATCCTACATAAAAATTCATCGATTAGCTACAATTTTATTAAAAAAAAAAAAAAAAAAAAAAAAAAAAAATATTCTCTGAATTAAATACTCGAATTCACTTATTTTTGACTGTTACGATACTTTTTGACACTTTTCACCCCGTACAGGGTTCGAACCCAGTGAAAGTATTTATAGTTTTATGTAAAATGTTCTCTTATTGGATTGGGTTATATTTTCGTCAGAAATTGATCCCTAAATAGTCCCTTGTAATTTTTTCATTACTGGTCCATAAAATCCGTATTTTTAAATACTTTCACTGGGTTTGAACCCTGTACGGGGTGAAAAGTGTCAAAAAAGTACGTATTTTTAAATAAATTAAATTTTTTCATATAACGATAAAACATGAAGATATCGATAACTCCGAGTATTCGAGTCGAAGTGATCGATTTCTTCATTTTTTATAATAATTTAAAATAGAAAATTAATAAAATCATTATTTTATAATATATATATATATATATATATATATATATATATATATATATATATATATATATGTGTATATATATAAGAATATTGTACTTCTATCAAAATTATTTTTATCATTTCAAATTCAATTATTATTTTTAAGAATTTTTAAACTTTAATTTCTTCTTTAAATTAATAAATTTTCGAAGTAGTTTGTTTGACAATTTTCCAATCTATTTGTTAATAATAAATCAATTCTACGAATTTCAATTATTTGTAAATTCGTCAATTAAATATATATATAAAATATTAGAAAATAAAAATTTCAAATACATAATATAAAAAACAATTCAAAAAATAATTTCAAAATTCAATTATTACTAAAAATTTATCCTAAAATGCTCTTAATATTCAATTATTATTATATAAAATTTTAACTAAAATTCATTTTTAAATTAATTTTTATTAGAAAATTCTATACAAGAATTGAATTATATTTAAATATAAAAATAAATAATTTATTTATTGAATGTTCCTTAAAATTCAAATTTGATAAAGAATAATTTTATCAACAAAAATTTTAACTAATTAAATTATTTCGACGAATTTCAATAAAATTTCTAACAATAATTAGATTTTTCGAGTAATACGGTTAAAATTGAATTAAAAATAATTGAAATTCAGCGATGAGTTTCATTATTTGTGAAAATAATTCAATCTCTGCAAAAAAATGTGATCATTCATGAAAATAATTGAAATATTGGAAAGAAATTTATAAAAAAAATTTGTAAATTATTAAATGCTTGTGAAATTTTTATTATTTATGAAAATAATTGAATTTATTTTGAATGATTGAATTCTGTTAGAAAATTTTATTAAAATAGTAGATATTGAAAATCATTGAATTGAAGAATATTTTTTAAAATATAGTTAAAATTTTGACAATTTCTAAAATTAAACTTTTTCTCAATTAAATTATTTCTAAAAATTTATCCTAAAATGCTCTGAATATTCAATTATGTAAAATTTTAACTATAATTCATTTTTAAATTAATTTTTATTAGAAAATTCTATATACAAGAATTGAATTATTTAAATACAAAAATAAATAATTTATTAATTGAATGTTTCTTAAAATTCAATTCTGATAAAGAATTTTATCAACAAAAATTTTAACTAATTAAATTCTTTCGACGAATTTTAACAAAAATTTTTTTAAATAATTATATCTTTCAAGAAATTTGCTTAGAATTGTATTAAAAATAATTGAAATTCTGCGATGAGTTACATTATTTGTGAAAGTAATTGAATCCCTGCGCAAAAATGTTATTATTTATGAAAATAATTAAATTACTGCGAAGTATTTTCTAAAAAAAATTTTAAATAATTGAATTCCTGTGAAACTTTTATTATTTATGAAAATAATTAAATTTATTTTAAATAGATAATTGAATTCTTTTAGAAAATTTTATTAAAATAGTAAATTTTTAAAATATTATTGAATTGAAGAAATATTTTGAAAATAATTAAAATTTTGCTAATTTTCAAAATAAAACATTTTCTAAATACAATTATTTCTAAAAATTTATCCTAAAATGATCTTAATATTCAATTATGTAAAATTTTAACTAAAATTCATTTTTAAATCAATTTTTATTAGAAAAGTCCACGAGAATTCAATTATTTTAATACAAAAATAAATAATTTATTAATTGAATGTTTCTTAAAATTGAATGCTCGTAAAGAATTTTATCAAATAAATTTTTAAATAAGTGAATTCTTTCGACGAATTTTAACAAAAAAATTTTTAAATAATTATATTTTTCAAGATATTTGTTTAAAATTGTATTGAAAATAATTGAAATTCTGTGATGAGTTTTATTTATTATTTGTGAAAATAATTGAATCCCAAAGAAGAATTTTATTATTTTTGAACATAATTAAATTTCTGCGAAGAATTTTATTGCTCTTGAAAATAATTAAACTTTTGCAATAATTTGTAACTTCTCCAAAATTATATATTTTTTTTAGTTTTTTTAAATAAAATTCTTCTATAAATCCATTATTTTTAATAATTTTTAAAAAAGTTCTTTGAGAATTTTCAAATTAAATTTTACAAAATTTCAATTATTCGGAAATTCTTCAATTAAATATATATATATTAGAAAATAAAAGTTTGAAAAAAACTGCAATTTAACTTTTTCAAAAAAATTAATTCCACAAAATTGATACTTAAAAATAGAAAAAATTCAGATATTCAAAGATTTTAATTTGAAATCTTTTCAAAAAGGAAACGTTCACAAAACTTGTAAATGAAATTTTTCATTTATTTTTGAATTCCGGAAAAAATTATTATAAATTGAGGCACAATAGGAAAGATTTTTAAAATTTTTCATTAAAATAAATATTAAAATTTAAAAGCATTTTATCTTTTTTTGTATTTTTAAAAATTATTTTGAAACAATCGTAACCTTGATGAATTTTAACTGAAAATTTGGAAAATAATTGAATTTTACAACAAATTAGAATTGAAGTTAATTATTAGGATAAGAAAAGAAGTTAATATTAATATAATATCAAGAAATCCATTTAGAAAAGTTCTATAGAATTTTACTAAAATAATTCTATGGAATAATTCTACAAAAATTTTAGTCAACGTTCTGTAGAATTTCTGCAATATTTTATACACTAACTCTAGTAAATATTGAATAGAAATTAACACAATTATTTTTTCTACATATTAATTAATTATAGATTATTAATTTTAACATATTATTAATTAAATATTTCTTTTTTTGAATTTCGCGCCAATAGAGTTGATAAATTTGCCGCCTAGATGGCATGAAAATTCGCTCGTAAACGAAGTAATGCGAATAGATTACATGAAGAATTGCGGTGAGATAACATTCTTTTTGTAAATAAATGAGAAAAACAGATTAATTTAAAAAAAAAAATAATCTACATTTTTTTATTTTATTTTTTTTTATTTTATCCATTAATTAAGAATTATTGACAATTTATTACTTTGTTGCTTTTTTGATTTTTCGAATTTTTAGTGAATTTTTTACCTTACCGACAGTTTAAAAGTGTAAATTGTAAAAGTTAAAAAAAAACAGAAATTGAAGACAGGAGACGAAAAATGCAAGAATTAAAAAATATGCTTTTTATTATTTAAATCAATTTAAATTTAATTTATAAAAATTTAAAACAAATTTTTTTTTCGAAAAAGAATTGTATCAAATATGTAGAAATTTCAAAAAAAAATGAAATAAAGGAATTGAATGAATAATAAAGCTGATCGATAGGCATCGCCTTGGACTCTTTTTGAGAGGGAATCTCAGTTACTGCTCACTGCGTTTCTTAGATTGACAAGGGGCGATTAAAAATAACTTATTATCTTCAACTTCTCCCCTTTTTGATTTCTATAGTAAAGCACAAATGTATAGATCAGTTATTTCCATATAAATATGAAATTAGTTTCTATTTCTAGAATTTTCTTTTATTGTACTTATTATTTTTTTATTAATATTAATATTAATATTATTATTATTATTATTATTATTATTATTATTATTATTATTATTATTATTATTATTATTATTATTATTATTATTATTATTATTATTATTATTATTATTATTATTATTATTATTATTATTATTACTATTACTATTATTATTGTTATTATTATTGTTTTAAATAATTTCGTTTTCTTTAAAAATAAAAGAAAATGTTTTAAATAAAAATGGTAAAATGGTTTTTTAAAATTCAAAATGTCGGATCCAGTATGGAGGATGATTTTAAAAAAAAACAATTAAATTTATTTAAAATTAAACAAATTCGTCGAAAATTTTGTTATTTAAAGTTCTTTAGAAATCTAAGGTTAGATTTTAAAAATTCAAAATGGCAGCTCCAATATGGAGGTCAAGATTTTTAAGAAGTCAATAAAATTTATTAAAAATTAATTTAATTCGTTGAAAATTTTATTATTAAAGGTTTTTTTATGATCGCTGATTATGAATCTAAGATTAGATTTAAAAAATTCAAAATGGCGGATCCAATATGGAGGACGAATTTTTTTAAAAATCAATCAAATTTGTGGGAAATTTGTTACTTATTGAAGATTTTTAGAATCTTGAATTACAATTATTTTCGAGTCAGATTTTCCGTAGTTTATAATAACGAATCGAAAACAAAATAAATAAACTGAATTATAAGAATAAATCTTCAAATTATTGCTGATATTTATTGAGAGTTTTATCCAATCTTCTACATCAACAAAAAGTAATACTATTTTATATATATATACAAATCACATATGGACA